GAACGAAGCTATGGATGGAAGCAAATTCGGCTTCAAGCTCACGGTGCCCAGCATGCCAAACCCTTTCGGACATGTGCGAGAAAGGGCGGATATCGTGGAAGGAGAGCCCATGTCCTCCTCAGACTCTGTTCACTCGTCGAGAACAATGACCGGCCCTTCCAACAAGGGGGTACTATCAGACAGTAAGCTCGCGACCCCCAATCCACCCGCCCCGACTCTCAAACTTCAACCTCCGATCGTTCCCACGCGAACCTCGCTGAGGCCTCTCAACTCGATACCTATCTCGGCGACTGTCGCTTCAGCCGGTCAATTCAACCCATCAACGATTCGAACTGTTCGCAGCGTCAACACCCTGCCGGATATGCATTCCAAGTCAATCACCAACAAGGAGAATGCGATGCCCCCTGGAATAACGAGGAGCGCTTCTCCGGTGAAGCTCGTAAGGCGCAGTCGGCCGAGAGTCGGTGTGATCTCGACAAGCGCAACGCCTCTGGCAGCTGTTGGCCAAACGACCCAGCTGGGATCGCCTGTAGCCCGTGGCAGCAACGCCGCGGCCTGTCCTCGACTTTCGCAACTCATGGCGGGGGAGGACGAATGCCAGCCAAATCATGCCGGCGAGGAGAAAGCCAAGATGGGAGGTAGCCAGCGTATGGTGGACATGTTTTTAAGCAGTCGTCGAAGGCAGATCACAGGAAGCGACGAGACAGGAGCCTTCCTCTGACGGACTTGAACAAAATTTTCCTTGGATCACCCGAGACTGGATCATATATAAGAGGGAAGCAGAGGCTTCCCTGCCAAGAGGCGATCAGCTCTTGGTTGACAATACTTCTGACATGGCATCATTATTGGTTTTCGGTCTGGGGTGTAATGGGTGGGAAGGCGCGAAGTGGGCAGTGCGCAGATGAACAGTCTCTAGACTTTAGACTTTAGACTTTTTGCAGAAAAACAGCTGAACGACGTTGGAGCGTAGAGACGATATGTGTATACTGGTCGACTTTGAACGCTAGCACCTTTATTTATGCTGACGCGGGCACTCCACCGGGTACCCTCTTTTTTCTCTCGTGTTCGCACGTGGTAATCAACTCCAAAGACTGCCTAGTCACTGGGCCGGCAGCCTCGCTCGCAGAAAGGCCTCGACGTCGTCCAGCTCCTCGGGGCAGGCAGAATGCGGCATGCCGGGGTAGATCTTGAGGGTGACGTCAAAGCCGAGCTTCTTGAGCATGTCGGCGCTCATCTGGCCGAGCTCGGGCCGCGCGAGGGGGTCGGCACCGCCGTGGCCCATCCAGACCTTTGTGTCCCTGTTGAGGGCCTTGGCCTCGTCCTTGACCTCGTCGCCAAACTTGTTGCTCAGCAGCAGCCAGCAGCTGAGGCCGACGATGCCGCCGAGCTTGACGGGGGCGGTGAGGCCGGCGAAGAGGGCCATGGCGCCGCCCTGGGAGAAGCCGCCGAGGACGATGCGGTCGGAGGGGATGCCGGCGTCGACCTCGGCCTGGATGAGGCCGTGGAAGTAGCCGGTCGAGACGCGGACGCCGGCGTCGTCCTCGTTTTGGCGCAGCGACTCGACGCTGCCGTCGATGACGCTCTGGGGTCTCGTGTCAGCCCGGGTTCGCTGGCGTGTTCAGCCGGGCGTACTACGGAACGGGAAGGGGCGGCGGGAGCAGTGATGAGGGTAGGTGGTTTGTGCGGCTGATTGGGTGTTCAGGGGCAGGGGACGCGGGAGACTCGACTCACGAGATCAAACCATCCGGGCATGGCCATGCCGCCGTTCTGTCAAACAAAGTTAGCGATTCGAAATGCTCGTGATGAAGGAAGAATCCATAAAAAAGAGGCGGGTGGAAAGAAGAAGTAGAGCGCACCGCTGTGATGGGGATCATGGGCGCGTTGGGCAGGATGAACTTGACGCCGTCGAGGCGCTGCCGCCTGCGCCAGCTCTCGACGGCACTCGCCCAGCCGTGGCCCGTGTCGCCGAGACCGTGGGCGAAGATGACGGTCGCCGTGTGGCGGCCCGGCGCGGGGAAGACCAGCGGGGCGGAGCGGCGCAGGGACGAGGCCATGGTGGGAAGCTCTGCGAAGTCGTCTGCGGCGAGGAGGGTGTCGTGGGCGAGGAGGGTGTCGTGGGCGAGGTCGGGATGCGCTTCTGTGGCCGCGGCTGGGGAGGGGAAAGCGACGAGTAAGTGAAGGAGTGCAATGCAGTGAAGGGACAGCCGAATACGCAGACGCATCTGATGACGGGTGGGTATCTGATGGCTCGTCTCCTGAAAGCCAATTGATGTCGGGATCGTTGTTTTGAGGTTGGTGGGGCAGCGTCGTCAGAGTGGGGGGGCCTCTCACCGCGGCCAAGGTGAGCGAGGTGAGCGAGGCGAGTGAGACTGAGGTGAGGGAGGTGAAGAAGTAGATGTATATATATATATATATATATATATATATATATATATATA